CAGAGCTTTTCCCATATTACAAAAGCGCCGTCCCTGGGATTCGAACATGGGATCTTCCCATAACGTTTGGTGAGGGTAACAACTAGACCACTTCACTAAGTCGCCACACCTCATTTATATTTTTTATATTTATTTTGTATATTTATTTATTAGATAAATTATATATTGATATAGTATATAACCGTTATTATACTATTACTATTATAGTTAAAATTTATAATATTAATTAGATTTTTTAATATATTAAATATACTTAATATGAGTACTTTAATAATTCAGATTAAATACAAATTGAGGATAAGGATTATTTGGATTATAATCCTTACTAGATTACTCTACTGGTAATTTAAATTTTTTTTTTAAAAAAAATATTTAAAAAATAAAATAAAAAATAAAAAATCTATATATTAAAAATTTTTACACTACTTGATTGGTCTCACCTCTTCCTCAGATTACTTTATATTTTCAAAGAAAAAAAGCCTGTCTGGTTCCTTTATCTAGAAAATACTATCTTGTCAAATTCACTCCTTTGTACTATTATTTTCTCTTTTTAATCTTCTGGAATTAATTTATTTGCCTATTAATCTAATTTGATTAACAAATCTCACAAGCCCTGGGTGCTTGCCTGCTATAACAATAATATTATTATTGGTCAAGTTCACAAAGTCTTCCATCAATCCAACTCGATTTCTATTACTTACTAGTCACATGATATTAATTCTTCTCTATCAACTTGTTATCCACTTCCTCCTATTACTTGTAAGCCTGCTAAGGCTATAGTTTAAACTTCTTTTGTATCTCTAATCATTGTATACTTGAAGTTTCTTTAATTCTTTCTACCCAATTCTTTGGTAGAAAATCTAACAATCAACTTAAACTTAATGCTAACTATATTGATCTCATTCATTCTATTACTTTTAAAAACCCACTCGAGATTCTATCTTTACCTTCTATTAATATTGTAGACTTTCTTACTTTATCCTTTTTTTATAATAATATCACTTCCAATAATCTGCTTCAAATTGCTTTAGCTAATCAACCTTATCAAGAGTTCACTTTCTACACAGATGGCTCTGTCAAAAATCTTGATACTGAGGAATATACTATAAATATTGGATGGGCCCAAGTTTACAATAATTCTGTTATTCATAATTTCTCTACTCAAATTACTAACTGGCCTTCGTCATATAAAGCTAAGCTTTTTGCTTTCTCTCTGCTATTTCTACTCTTCTATGTAATTCCTTTGTTAATATTTATATAGACTCCCAATCAGTAATCTCTAAGTACAATAAGCTTCTCCAAACCCCTCACTCCACAACTAAATATTTTAAATTCAATTCTTGGCCAATCTGACACACACTTATTAACTTAATCAAAGCATATAATATTGACTTAACTTTTTACAAAGTCCAAGCCCACAGTGATAACACTTTCAATAATTTAGCTGATTACCTTGCTAATAATTATATATTCTCTTCAACTCTATTATTTAATTATTCTAATATACATAATCTTTTTTTTTCTTTTAATGAAAAAATTTCTCAATTAATAGCCCTTCTAGATGCTTTATTAAAAATATTTGCAATACTAATACTATTTTTATGTGGTCTTTCCAAAGACATACTGATAAATGGTTACACAATTCTACATGGCTATACTTTAATAATAATCATAAATATTTACACAATTTTACTAAGCTAAACTTAGTTATTTTAAATTTTTTAAAATTAAAATGTTACTTAATAGTCTACATACATACTTTCATTTTTATTTTATATCACCTAATATATATTTTCATCTTCTAAATATTTTCAATTCAATCTTCCTAACTTTCCTTTTTACTAGTACTCCTGTTCTCACTTTAATCTCTTATCCCAAATTATTAATTCTTCTATTTTAGAAACTATTTTAAATGCCAATCTTGATCTTGCTTTTCATGAACTTAATCACTTAATACATATAATTTCATCTCACCCTTCCTTCTTCCTTCATCCTTCTACTCTCTATCTATACTTCCTTCATTCTACTCTTAAAGGTTTGATTCCTTCCCTGCTTGCCTAATACTTATTACTATTTGACATATCTTATTCAATAGCTTTGTAGCTAATTATCAAAATCCTTATTAAAATTTCTAACCAAACCTATGAACAAATATGGAAATTATACTGTATTAACTTTTCTACTTGAAAAAAATATCATCAAATTCTACCTCTACTCAAGTTAGCCAACGACCTTCTACTTGCTCCTATACTAGAACTCATAACACTTTTACATATAACTGTCTATGCAACTTACCTGATCAACTACATTCTGACTTCTCTTCTTGCTCTCCAGCGGGGCTAGCTAAATATAAATTTAATATCTGGTCCACTTTGTGGATCCAGTTCAGCATTCCTACTAATCATATACTAAGTATTCAAATCTAGGTAAGTCTTAACCACTCTAGTAGGTTTAGGTCGCAGATAAATAATTAGTTTGAGCTTTTATTCTTGCATGTAGTTTATATTTATTCATTTATATATGAATTGAGTTTTTATTTAGTTTTGTTTCTTTATGATCGCTTATATAAATTACTTAATAAAGATATAAGCAAGGCCTCACCTTTTAATATTAAAAAAAAATAAAAAATTTTTGATCTTCAAAGCATCTGTTTGTAATATAGCTCTTTTATATAGTATTTGGCATCAGATTGAAATGCATATCATGAATATAATAATGAAGACAAAACAATTATAGAGGTTCATTTAGTTCTCACACTGAATATCTATCACCAAAAGAAAAATCAATAAAACAGCAATAATTAATAAATATTGTATTATATTGCATCAACACATGTATCTATTTTTATCGTTAAGTTAAAGATTAATATAAAGATTATTTTAAGTACTATATTGAATAATTAATATTGCACATATGAATTATGTGAATTAGATCTATTATTAAAAGGATGGGCATATCAGCAATATATGTATATATATACATTCTTTATAAAATTTTAATATATAGTACAAATATCCATAATCAAATTATTAAATTCTAACTTTAAAGAGCTGTTAGAATTATTTTATAACATGACTATAAAGAGCTATTAGAATGATTTTTATCATACAAACTTTCTTATCATAACACTAATTATAAAGAACTGTTAGATAATACAAACCTTCTCATGCTAACACTAATCATAAAGAGCTGTTAGAATAATTTTATATACAAACTTTCTCATCCTAACACTAACCATAAAGAGCTGCTAGAATGATAACTTTCTCATCCTAACAATAATCATAATGAGCTGTTAGAATGATCTTATACAGTTCGGAACTAAATTTATTCAGATATTTGTTTACTATTGATATCTGGATAAATATTTGAATATCTTTCAGATTATCTGGATATATGAGCGATCTGAATTATCCAGATAATTCAGATATGGAGATGAATTTATCCGGATTGGAACTCTACTAACCATAAAGAGATTTTGGAATATAAACTTTCTCATCCGTAAAAAGCTGTTAGAATGATTTTTTGCTTCATTTACTGTATTTACTGTAATTATTGTTATTTCGATGATTGGCTAAAACTCACATGATTGCTGTCTTATTTTTAGGAAGTTTTGGAAACGCAGGGTATGGTAATGGAGATGTTAAAATCTAACCTGTCGTTTAATAACAGATCTAGCATCAGGTAATAATGATAAAATTAAATTAAATGTTTTTACCAGCTTCAAAATTCGCAACTTTTATTGGTTGATCAATGATTTTTCAGGATTGAATTCGAATCAAATTCGAATTTACTCAATTCGAATTATAACCGGATTCATGAAAGAGAATCCGAATTCAATCCTGAAAAAATAGGATCAAAGCTCTACTTAATATTCAACACAATCAATTCTTAATACTATTTGATTTAAAGATCAGTTTTATATTCTAAAATATCACTATATTTAATTTTAACCATTTTAAATATTTGGAATGGCGCAAATATTTTAGACATCCTAAAACATTTTAGACAATCTAAAATATATTCGGCCTACTAAAATAATTTTTGCAGCCTAAATTATTTTCGACACTCTATATTATTTATGATTTAGACAATCTAAAATAATTTAGCCAGTTAAATGGCAAAATAATTTAGACACCATGTATAGTCATGTATGCCGCAGATAAAACTTTTCAGAGGCGTTATAAACAGAAAATACTTAAACTACGTTTTTGATATTTTTTAATAAAATAAATCAAAAACATAATTTTGGTCATCACTTAACGTAGAAACGTGAGTCCTCCGCTTCGCTCTGGACAATTATTGTTATTATTATTTTTTTTATACAGTATTTAAATTGTTCTTTTAAAATGTGCTAAAAATTAAATTTTAACTAGCTGAAAAGTTTTTAACCGATTAAATGTATTTATTAATAAAATAGATAAGACACAGAATATGTAGTTTATTATATCAAAAAATTATAAATAGCAAAAATAACTAATATTACTATAAATCCAATAATTTTTTTTAAATATAGATTTGTTAAAACTTTATAGCTACTAGAGTAAATAGAATTATTATATAAACAGTTCTATACTATTGTTATAGATCTTTATTATTAATCCATTATTATAATTTTTTTATTTAAACAATAAAACACTAATAGAAAAATCACTAAAAAAAATTAGCTGCAGAACCATTAACAGTAGCATGTGCACAGCTATAAGCAGTTAGTAATTCCTCTCCAACAAAAACTAAAATCCCATATGAGTCAACAGCAGGAATAGGAATAGATGCATTTATCGTAAATGGGATTCCAGCATTATATGATTCGTTAAATGGTTGAGTGTTTTCGTCACCTATAGGTGTACTATTTGATAAGTCAATAAATACAACTATAAGATTGGTTTGGGCTGCGGTTATATTATTATTTGTTAATGTTCCGGACACACTAAATAGGTCGGGTTGGTTTTTAACAGGGGGGTCAGGTGTTATTGACACAGCAAGTGTGTCCTTAATAAAGTGACAAGGTTCGAAGGTGGTAGCTCTTTTATTAAGTTGAGATGGAACTGCATTTACTGTAAGAAAAATAGCAAATAAACTAAATACAAAAATAAAACTCTTCATGATTTTTAGCGAAATAGATAGGAGTTTTTTTTTAATTCAGATATTTTTTTTTGTATGATTATTGATAACTTGATGTCCTTTTATAATAAAAAAATAGCCTTTGAAATCCTGAAAAGCCCACGTTTTCGTCATTTTGAAAAAAATTCAATAAAGGTTAAATTTATTACACTGATCTTCTAATCGACGGTCAAAATTCATCAGAATATAGACCAAAATAACACGGTAGATGGTGTAGAATAACTATTTAAAAAACCATATATACCATACCCATACTAATCCCCGATGCCGAAATCACGGGTATCATACGAATTTGATCACCCACCCACCATTACCATAATTCGGCACATTGACCATTCTTTTTTAGGAGTTTAAAATAAGTGGATATGAAATTGACAAACCTTAAAACCTAAAATTGGCCAATCGGATTACTTATAATAATATTTCTGTATATTTTGAAAATATTAAAAAATGAAAATTTCAAGGTTAGCAAAAATAAAGAAATTATACTGATTTTATCAATCAGGACCGTAATTTGAACCTATACTGTATTAACTGTTATGAGATCGAAAACCGAAATTATTAGTTTCGAAGGCCGATCTATCATTATTAGTCACAATTAGTTGTTACATGTTTTTATTATAATTATTATTTTTATTATATAATTAACTGTATATACGTATTATATGACAATACAACTCAATCTTTATATTAATTACTAAATATAGTACTCTAATTCGAGCTTGTTAAAAAAAGTCCAAATGATCACAAATTACAATATGTCCGTGCTTAAGGAATAGATTAGTCGCGTAACCAAAATTTCGGATCGGAATGGGTCGGAATTGATAAATTTTACTAATAATCCAGTAATTCACGTGCTAAGTAAAATTACCAATATTTATTATTATTGCTTAATGCGGGCTTAATGCTGATGCATTCCGATTCTAGACTTTGGTCGATCTGCTAAATTTTGGTTGCGCGATTAATCTATCTGTAAATCGCACGATCATAAAATATTGGGATTTTTGCTGATAATATAACGCGAGACTATGGTTTATCACATATATGTAAGAATAATAATGATGGTGTTGATAGATCAGCGGATAACCAATCAAATTACACGATTTTTATTCGTTACTAAAAACGAAAACTTCAAGAAAAAAGTTTATACGAATCAGTAATATCACTGATTATATATATATATAAGATAGGTGAATATATATATAAGATAGGTGAATATATGTAAAGAGGAGTAAAAGCGGTGTTCAACTACTAAAACAACCAGAACTTACTAAATCTAAC